ACAAGATTAAAAAGGAACCTAAGCCGGTTGTCCAAATTATCTTATTAGGCGTGATTTTTAATTGCATATTCCCTTTAAAAATGTAATATGGTGATCAATAAATATATAATAGAATAAACATTAATACTGGAAGCAATTTAACAATAATAGCGTTTGGAAAATCAAATATAAATAATAACTCTAATCACGATACCAGCAATATTAAAAATAAAATAAATAATTAATTACTCACATTCCGCGCAATTCTTCAAATTGCTACATCATGAATATATTGTTAGTAACTTCAATAAAAAATATAAATCAAATGGAAATTAAAATAAATAAATGTAGAGTTGATTTGGTTCAAACACTCAGTTATTTGTACCTTCACACCTTGATTTAAGGACGGAACCTTGGGTTAATTATGGACTCCTTGGAGTGCTTAAGGGAAGAATGGTGTAATTAGTAATATAGGTTTAAGGCTTAGAATATGAGAGAGAGAGAGAGAAGAGAATGATTTTTTATGTAAAAGAGAGGAAGAGAGAATGATTTGGTGCCCCGAACTGTAGAAAGGAGGCGGGTATTTATAGGGACAACGAGTAGGGGGAACACACGGAACCCTAAAAAGATAAAAACCCTAAAAAACACTGTCGCGACATGGCAAAGAATGCCACAATACGGGGAAAAATAGTGTGACGCGGGGAAACCTGGAGTGACGCGGAATAGAATTAATTACGGAAGATAAAAGCGTGTGAAGGGTTTACGCGGAGGAAACACGGAATAACCCCGTGTCACGGAATGGGCATCATGACACGGCACGTGTCTACCGCGACACGGCAAAAAAGTGCCATGACACAGCAAAATATGCCGTGACGCGGGGAAGTAGCTGCCCTAAGAAAAATAAAACCTGTTTAAGTTTTACGCAGAGAAAACACGAGACATCCCGTGACGCGGCAGAAGCTGCCGTGGTGCGGCACATGGCGCCGTGTCACGGTGCACTACTTTTCCCGAAACGATTCCAAATTCATAAACGTGTGAAGAAAAACGCCGAAGATACACAAAAAGGCACCGTGTCACTGCAATATGCCCTGAGCCACATCAGTATTTGCCGCATCGCGGCATTTTAGCTGCTGCGTAGTAATTCCAGTTTTTTACGCGTTTTTACATGATAACTTTTGATCCGTAACTCGGAATAAGGCATATAATATATGATTGGAAATCTTATCAAGTCTACTTTACAACCCAATTAAGATCAGGTCAAAATCATTTTTAGATTTTAAGATATGAACATTTTAGTAGAAGGGTGTTGGTTTTGGACCGAGTTTAGTGTTTGGCTCATATCTTCTTCGTTTTAAACCGGAATTGGGCTTATTATATATTTTTGGAAAGCTTATTTCAAGGTCTAAACAACCAAATAATAATTGGATCAAAATTATATGTCCAAAAAATCAGTTTCTCTCAATTTTGTGATGTGGGCACTAAAAGAGGAAAACAAGTTATGACGTAGGGAAATGAGCTAGGAAATGGATTGGTTTATGAAATGTATTGAATGTAAACATGGATTTAAGCACTACAAATATTAAATACTCAACCCGACCAATAATGGTGGTGAAAGGTTGTTCATCATCGGGTTTGATTTTGGGGAGACATTTTTAGGTGTCTACAGTAGCGTTGCTTGATCTTAACTGAAATGTTTTTAATTATCAAATTATTCTTCTTTATATTAATTGCGTTGTTTAGCATAGAATTTTGAATATTGATTTGATTACTTGCTTATATTAGCTTGAGTCGACTTAATTAAATAATTATTAGTCTCTTGGATGGGATACGACCCCTTACTTTCTTATTCATATAGTGAAAAGAGGGAAAATGAAGGAATTTGAAGACGGTTATAGTTAGTGGGGCCCACCATAACGTCACAATTAAGTTGTTGAGCAAACTGTTGGTAGTATTTAAGGTTTTGAATAATTGTTGGTTGTAGAATTTAATATATATATATATATATATATATATTGTGATAATTACTAAAACGTAATTTATAGTAGGTAATAATTATCAAATTTTTATTTATAGAAAGATTATATATAGATATTAACTCTATAATCTCAAAGAAAAATCAAAATTTTCTTTCTTCTCATCTTCATTTAGATGGACCCATATTGAAGCACCACTCCTTTTTCGGATATTAAAGAGTGGGACTAAGCACACTAAAGCCCAAAGAAAAGTGGAGGTGCCCCCAATTTCTTAAAACACTAATCTCTTTGGTGGTTAATTTTAGTGCACTAGGCAGTGTAGGCACTTACTTCATGCTAGTATGCAAGTAGAGATAAAGGATAAGAACCCCATTATATTTGTACCAACTACCAAATAAAGTTGAGAAGTTCACATGGAACAGATATGCTGACTATATTTGCTATATATGTGTCATATTAACTACAAGGAAGACAAAAGCACTTTGAATATGTCTAAACTTCTAAAGTTTGCATTGTTTACACAACACAAATTGTTTTCTGGCACCTAGAAAACTTGATGTCTTTTTCATGACTATTTGAAGCATAATAGTCCTTCTTGAAAATTTTGAACTATCTTTTTAATTATTGGTTATGTATGAATTTTCTAATTTGAAATTAATTTAAGAATGGAAAATAAACTATGATATATACTTGATAATATTAATATTTAGTTTATGCATAATATTTAATCTTTTAGTTCATGACTACGAGTCTGTTCTCATTGACTGAACTCAGCTGAACTGAACTGAATTGAACTGAACTGAGCTGAACTGAACTGAATTGAACTGAAATAAATATTTTATAAGAGAAGGAAATTAGAAGGAAATTAGGAGCTGAACTGAACTGAACTGAGCTGAGCTGAACTGAACTGAATTTCAACGTATGAAAACAGACCCGTATACGTACACCGACCATTTTGTTAATTTCAATAATTTCTAATATTGAGTGTTTCATTATTTCATAAGATCACTAACTTATTTTTCAAATTATCCATGAAGTGGCAAAATCTTTCCCTTATTCCTTTGTCAACATGACATAATTTGTATTAACAATAATATTTTGATCGTCTTTCTAAGCTCAAATGATTATTGTGTTACAAGTTGTTTAAATTTGTATTTTGTCAATGATTTTTATGGGATAAAAATTTTGGTCACTAACTATAGTGTCCCATATTCCTAATGTAATACCCTCCCCTTGTCTCCTCCCCTTCAAAGTTCCTTGTCTGTTAACTCAAACCACGTATATTTGGAAGAGGTTTCGATCCAATAAGGCCTTCTAGTTCTTCCTTACCTACACATAAAAATAAAAACAAATAATAATAAAAATAAAATAAATAATCTATTGTCTCCCATATTCTTATTGCAATTCATTGGAGTTGTAACCCCTTCCATCCTTTAGAAGGATTTCCATTATTTTTCTTAATTTCAATGTACTTTTGCACTTATAAATTTATAATTTAGGAATATTGAAAATATAGAGTTTCTAGAAGAAAATATGATGCTTTCTCTCACGGGTAACCAATTATATAGTACTATACATTAGTACTGTATAAGTTTTGCTTAAAATTAGTTGAGAAGAGCTAACACTCTACACGAAACAAATAAGTTTTGCTTCTTTGATGCTTCTAGTCGATTGCTGCCTTTAACTGCACGTGACGTGGTTTAATACCATACGTTATAATCTTTTGAAAATTCTTCAAATATACCGTATTAGCTATACAAGAGCCAGACCCAGTTGATATCTGATATCAATAATTTTTTGTTAATATCACCAGTTTTTCTCTCTCCTCCCCTCACATGACCAATTTTTCTTTCTCTCCTCCATTCCCATGGCCACTACTTCCTTCTCTCTCCTCCATTCTCATGCCCAAAGTCGACCACATACGCGGATCTACACCGGCCTGCCGACCGGCCAAAAAAACGATACCCTAGTATTAATTTATGAAAATTGGGGCCATACAAACCCTTTAGGGAAAGGGATTTGCTCGTACTAGTGGTGTTGCGGTGGTCGAATGTTGGTGCAGCGGCATGTGGTAGTCGACTGGGGTCGATTCGTAAAGGCTAGTGAAGCTAAAGGTGGTGCTGTGGGTGGTAGCTAGTGGTGGTGCGGCGGCCGTGTGGTGGTCGATTGGTGGTTGGCAGGAGTTGATTCGTGAAGGTAAAGGTGGTGCTGTGGGTGGTAGTAGAGGTTGCACGGTGGTGATAGAGGGGAGAGAAAAAGGGTGTGGTTACTAAAATTACAATATTACCCTTGGTGTGGTAGCTAATTTACAAAATTAGCCTTGATATTAACAAGTTTGGTTGATATCTGATATCAACTTATATTTTATTCGAATATTTTGGCCTTTTGAGGGGGCATTTCAGGAATTATTTGCTAATCAATAATTCATCTTGGAATTAATTAAGGATTTAAATCAAAAAGAAATTTTGGATTAAAGTTAGTCATATTTGCGTCTAAGGGCAATCTGTTGATTCCAATCAGGCAAAACAACAGAATATATTTTACTATTGACTAAAAGCTTTATAAAATATTAAGTCGGAAAAAGTAAAACACGGAATATAGTTCACTTAGGAGCTAAAAAGTTATTTGGTGTGGACAGTCAATGGTTTTGGTACTTTTTGACCTTAACATCAAATACTCCCATAGTCCCAATATACTCACATTTATCTTAAAAAAAATATATTAATATGCACTTTGTAGAAAATATAAGAAATGACATTATTTCTGTGTGGATGATGACATGGTTCACCCTAGCTAATTATCAGGGGTGTTTGAATTTCATGTATGTTGTGTACAATTATACCCTACATATCCTTTATTACACCCTTGTTATTTGTATAAAAGTAAATAAGTGTAGAAGGAGAGTAAGTCCTATAACGGGTGATATGGAAAACATTTTTGTAAAACATCTGCGGTTTGTAAGTAAGTAATTATGTATATAGAGCACGTCTTGACTAATTATTTACCAGAGTTGGTCAAATAGTTAGCCAAACATAACCAACTATAAAATTCCAATTAATACCCATAATTTGCATTAATATATTGTGCTTACCAATTTACCATGATTGAAGGTTATAGCCTACAAAAGCCTCACTAAATTGCATTTCCTTGATATGACCTTTTATTAAATACTTTTAGCAACCTGAGGCAGGAAAAAAACAAAAGAGAAAGAGGAGAAAAATTAACTTGGGTTGTCTAATGTACAAGAATTATATACTCTAGATTTTATGGCTACATATTTGAAATGTCACAAGAGTACTAAAACCCCTGAATTCTTCAATATACAATATACTTTGTATTATTGTACATTACGCTTCTCTGCTTAGAACTGCTCTTTGCTTTCCTCTATTTTCTTAGCACCATCTTTGCCAACAATTATGCTTACCAATTGACATGGTTCAGCATCTTCAAGCATTTGGACCACACTCCTCATTGTTGGCCTGAGCTCAGGCAGCCTAGCTGTGCAAAGGATCGCAATCTTCAATATCTTAATCGCGTCTTCTTTTAAGGGTGTTATGATGCTTGAGTCTATTATGCTCAATACACTTTCTCTGTTTTTCAACTTGCTAGAAACCCAACTAACAATGTCTTTGCTGTCTCCGAATTCTGGCTCAATTGGCCTTTTCCCCGTTACTAATTCCATCAGAAACACTCCGAAGCTGTAAACATCACTCTTCTCATTAACTTTGTATGTGTATCCATACTCTGCATATTAATAAAGCTCAAAGATGTTAGCATTACAAAACTTACTTCAAACAATTGTGAAAAAATTGACCAATACTCATTGACATACCAAGACTTTCGTTACAAAACATAAGACATTATATCCAATTTTATGGTGTAACAATAAGCAACATTAAAGGGGACATAATTATTACTTCAAAGTAAGATTTATGATTGTTCTTTACCATCAATAATATAGAAGTATATGTTAGCTTACATGACAAATGTACACCTAACCAAGTCAACTATATGCATAAAGGATAAGGCTAATTAAAATGCCTTAATAATTTTGAAATGAGTGTATAAAATATACCTGGTGCAATGTAACCGTGAGTTCCTGCAATCACATGAGTTGAATCACAATTTGTGTTCACTTGAGGAATCTTCGCAAGCCCGAAATCTGCAATCCTAGGCTTCAAAAACTCATCCAACAATATATTGCTAGACTTGACATCGCGGTGAATCACTGGTTTGTCATACCCATGGTGAAGGTATTCAAGCCCTTTTGCAGCACCCAAAGCAATTTCATACCGACTTTGCCAATCTAAGGCGAGCTTCTTATTACTATGCAGCCTATCCCACAAGCTCCCATTAGGCATGTACTCGTATACCAACAAGCTCGAGTCTTCACTAGTAATACTACAGTATAACTTCACCACATTGATATGCCTTATTGAACTTAATGTTTTGACTTCCATATCAAACTCCTTGATCTTTCTACTACTCCCATATTTCTTGTCTAGCATTGGAGTGCTTGGACGGATCTTCTTCCCATCCTCGGAAAAATCGAAATTCCATATGTGCTTAACAGCCAACTCCTTCCCATCTTTAAGGCCAACCTTGTAAACACTCCCACACCCTCCTTTCCCTATCAAATTCTCGGGCTTGATTGAATCAAGTATCTCCTCTTCAGTGAAGGTAAGCAAATGGTACGACTTCATGTTCCACGAATAATCGTCCTTTAATGAGAACGAACGCTCCTTATCCTTCCCGACACCACTTAACTTTGTGTACAAGTAACAACCACTTAAAGCAACCAAGATGGCTAATCCAAGAACTAGGCATATTACAAAAGTTCGATAATCCCGGGACCTTGATGAACATTGTCTAAAGCTCTCAAAATCCGAACTACAAAGGTAGTTATTACCCTTAAAACTCTCTCTAAACGCCCCAATCGAAAGAGATTTCGGTATAGGACCGGATAATTTGTTGTAGGACAAATCAAGACTACTAAGCTTAAGAGATGACAGAGTATTAGGAATTAGACCAGATAACTCATTTTGTGACAAATTCAAGGAATTCAAAGTAGGCAATGAACCTAAATTCACAGGAATTCTACCAGAAAATGAATTTTGTGCTAAATTTACATCAGTTAAATGAAGGCATTCTCCTAAAGAAGCAGGGATATTACCAGAAAACTGATTCTTCTGCAAGTAAAGATTATTTAACATCTTTAGCTTACCAATACTTTCAGGTACCTCTCCTTTTAACTGATTGTTACCCAAATCGAGCCACAGCAACGACGAAGCGCCAGCGATTTCTGCCGGAATATCCCCTGATAATTCATTGTTGGCAGCATAAATTTGCACCAGATTTTCTGCTTTAGCAATATCCGAGGTGATTGAACCTCGTAGCTTATTGTCAGCAATATCTATTATATTTACATTAGGCAGACCCCAAATTCCGGCGGGAACATCTCCAGTGAGCAAGTTGTCGCTGACTCGGAACCGAGTCAACGTAGTACAGTTGGCATAACTCACCGGAATTTCGCCGGAAAATTTATTTTCCAAAATCAGAAGCTTTGTCATAGTCCCCTTTTTACACATATCAGGGGGAATCGGTCCTGAAAGCGAATTCGTCGAAACATCAATGAAATCGAACTCTGTCCACGACCCGAGCTTCTGTGGAAGCCCTCCGGTGAGTCTGTTACTATACAGAGACAAGTTCACCAAATTCTTAAAGTCTCCAAACTCCGCCGGAACCTCGCCGGAAAATTCATTCTGGTACAATTGAATCCAAACAAGCTGATTCAAGTACTTGAGCTCAGACAAATCCCCTCCTATGCTATTGTTAGAAGCATCAAACCTCTTTAAATTCGTAAGGTTTCGAAAACCGACAGGGATAACTCCGGTCAGGTAATTGTTGTACATCTCAAGCTGCCATAATTTCTTAAGTTGAGATATCTCAGTTGGTATTGACCCGTTTAAAAAATTATCAGATAATTCAAGATTACTCAACTCAGACAAGTTTCCAATTTCAGGTGGAATTGACCCTGAAATACTGGTATTTGTCAGGTAGAGCAAGTTCAAGTTCTTCAACTCTGTAACTTGTTTGGGAAACGTTGATTCATCAAATGGGTTGTCGCCGAGGCTGAGATGAATAAGGCCGGTCATTTTCGAGAGAGAATTCCATGGAAATTTTCCTGAAAACCCGCTTAAATTTAAGTACAAGTACTCTAACTGATATAAAGGTGAAATGTTTGGGAATGAACCAGAAAACTGGTTGTTACCCAAGTCTAAGTATCGAAGCTCAATACAGTTTCTGATATCAGACGAGATTGTACCAAAAAGAGAATTGAACCCAAAAGCGAGTTTTTGGAGGAAAGGAAGGGAGCAGATGGCATTGAAAGGGAGAGTACCGGATAATCTCTGTTTCGAGAGATCGATTTCCGTTACGTTACGAGCGGTGTTGCAGGAAATACCGGTGAAACTGCAGGTGGGGTTGGAGGGGATCCAAGTGGAGAAGAGCTTGGGGTTGGAAGATTGGAGGGAGGATTTGAGAGCAAGGAGGGAATCGATCTCGTCGGACGAGGCGGAGTTGGAAAAACAGAGGAGGAGAAAGAGGAGGAAGAAGAGAGGGGTGAAGGGTGGTTGTGGTGGCATGATTGGAGGTGGAGGTGGGGGGTGGTGTGGACGGTGGGAAAAAATGGGAGAGTTTGTTAGGATGGGGTGTGTAGAGTAAGTAGAAATGAGAAGCAAAGTGTGACAACAACTGATTTTTGAAGACGAGAGAAAAAACAAAGGATAGTGGCGGGTGTGTTCACACGTGCTCTAAATATACTGAATTTATAATTCTCATTTAGACTGTACACGTTTATCAATGCAACACTTTAATTGTAAATATCGTTAGTTGTTTATTAATAAAAATATAATAAGCGAATATTCACAATCTATTCATCGACACGAACCAAATAAGACTCGACATGACTATGTTATATCTTACGAAATATATATTAAGAGTAATTTAGAAAATTATCTCACATTATGAATAGTGTCAAAATTACAAATGGGAACTATAAAAAGGGGTGGAGAGAGTAATAACTTAATAATGAACTTGACACATATTTCAATTGAAAATTCTACTATGGTCATTTGATATATGACTATATTAATGTTTTACTTTCTTTGTTTTATTTATAAGCTAGAGCTGGATTTATCAATTTATCGAGACACAACTTTGACTGTTTATATTTTTTAAATTAGAAATTAGTAAAAGTTGTGATAGAATTTAGAGTAAGAGAGAAAAATGCGGAATAATAAAATATAGTATAAAGTTACCAAATATAGAAGTGATGCAGTTAAAAAAATATACCCATAAAAGGGAAATGATGTATTTAAAAAAAACGGAGGGAGTATAAAAGTAGACATTATGACAAAACCAACAACATATTATATGATCATACTAAAACTTCCTTTGTTTTTTTTAGTTAACACCTTTTCATTATCACGCTTGTCAATGCATGTTTTCAACGCTTAATATATCTAATTATCAACATTGTAAAAATTATTAAAAGTGGATATTAATAAAATAAACATCAAGACTCTTTTTAAAAAAAAAATAATAATAAGAAAAAAAAGCAAGATCTCACTTGACTATATTTTATCTTATCTATAAATCACAAAAGTGAGTCAAAGTGTTGTACGTGTGTGAATAGTGTAAAAGTCAAACGGTGTTAATTAATAAAAAATGGAGGTTGTATATTATATATTGGTAAAAAAAAATTAAGTTAATGATGACATATGAATAATGGAAAATTCAAACTCTGGCTTTTCAAAAAACAGATGGAGTAATGATTACGTAATTCATAATTGATGTATTTTTCCCCAAATAATTAGTTATATTACTGTATTTTTGCTATAAAATACTATTAATTACTGAGTACTTTTTTTTTTTTTAAGTTATCCAATTTTTAGTTTCATTTATGTAATTTTTAATCTTATTATATAGTTTCTCGAAAAACATTTATTTTATGTTGGATTAAAATTTTCAAAAACTATATTTTCATTGTAGATATATATTAGAATACTAACTGTGTCCAATTTTATAGTGTGAAAAAATGGATCTCCCATTTAATTCATACTAAACTAAAAAAGAATGACAAATCATTCTTAAACAGAACCGTTTCTAACCCGAAATAGCCCAAACCACTTTTTATGGTGGATTTACGATAAAATGATCTTTTAAGAAATAAAAAACTTGTATTCTTTAATTTAGTAATGTATGTTATACAAGATCATTCTAAATACGAATCAAATTCTAATTTAGACATTTATATTGTGGATTACATCTACAATATGATTAAGGTATTGTACTAATAGTTAGCTGTAAAGGTAAAGGAGAGGTTTGAAGATGCTCGTAAGAGGAACGATGTTGACTGATTTCTCAGTCAATCACTCAATAAGATAAATTGTTAAGGGCTCATGTAGCCCATTAGAATGAGTTTTCTTGTCTGAATATGGAAGAAAAACCAAGGAATCATTAAATGTTATTTTATCAATAACAATCTCGCTATCATAGTTACCGTGCGTAGTTACTCTAAGCTTTGCAATGAGGTTCATCAAAGGGATTAGATTACAGAAAACCACTACAATAAAACAGGGAAATAACGACGGACTACTTCCGACGGACCAATTATTCTGTCGGAAATATCGAATTTTTCGACGGATTTTAATTCCGTCGGATATTTCCGACGAATTCTAAAAATCCGTCGGTTTCCGACGGAATAAAAATCCGTCGTAATATATGGGCTTTCCGACGGATATTTCCGTAGGAAATTACTTTTTCCGACGGATTTTTAGTCCGTCGGAAATTTCCGATGGAATTTTCCGTCGGATTTTTTTTTTTTTTTCAAAAAAATCAACCCTAGAATAACACTCCTCTCTTTTCCGTCTCTTCTCCTCCTTATCTTTCCTCTTCTCTCTCCTCCCCTTCTCTTTCTTTGAATCTCACTCCCCTTCTCTTTCAATTCGTTCTCACTCCTCTCTCTGATTCTCTTTCAATTCGTTCTCTTTCAATTCGTTCTCACTCGTTCTCCTTTTGTTCTCTGAATCTCACTCGTTCTCCTTCTCTATCTCTCCTCTACTCTACTTTCCCCTCAAATCTCCCACCATAGCCGCCATCAACAACGAACAACGAACAACACCAACATCAACAACACCATCGCCGGCATCAACATCAACAATAATATTCATCTATTTCGCCCTTACTCTCTCTCTCTTCATGCTTCAAACAAAGGTTTTTGGGTCAAATTCGACCATGAAAACTCTAGATCTAGAGTTTTTATGGTCGAATTGGCCTCTTAAACCCAATTTCGAGGTTATGTGTGGTCTCATTAAGGTATTTATTTCGTTTTTTTCAATTTTGATTTTATTTTGTAGTTTTATTGGAATTTGTTTTTTACAATTTATGGTGGTGGTGGGTGGTGGTTGTTGGATGGAGACCGTATTTGTGGGTTGCGTTCAGATTTTAATTTTTTATTTTATTTTTTTGTTAATTTCTGGATTGTGATGATTTTTGGTGGTGGCGGTGGTGATTTTTAGGTGGGTGGTGGGGTGGTAAATATGGTTAGGTGGCGGTGGTGGTTGTAGGTGGGTAGTGGGCTGGTGGATCTGGTGTAGGTGGCTGGTGGGTAGGGTTCTGGTGTGGGTGGTGATACGGTTGGTGGGGTTGGGTGTGGGTTAGGTGACTTGGTGAGTTGTTGGTTGTGTGAGGTGGGGGTAGATGGTGTGGGGTGACAGCTTGCGGTGGCGGTGGCTTTTTTTTTTGTTTTTTTTAAAGCATTTTACGACGGAAATTCCGTCGGGCATTTACGACGGAATTCAATTCCGTCGGAATTTTACGAGGGACTTTGCCGTGCTTGAAAATGTTCTCGGCGGACTGAAATCCGTCGGAAACTCCATCGAAAAACCCATTTACGACGGAAATTCCGTCAGAAAAGGGTGTTTTTCCGACAACAACTTTTCCGACAACCGGTTACGACGGAATTCCGTCGCAAATGGGTTTTCCGACGGAAAACAAGGTGTTTCCGACGAAAAATTTCTGTCGCAATCAACCTGATTTCTAGTAGTGAACGCATTAGAAAGCTATCTAAAGCCCTATAGAATGAAGAAAGGCCTTTGGTTCACATAGTTTCCTAACCAGTAGGTTAGTTACGTACATATTGGCAAAGTCGGCCTACATGACCTTATAGCATAGGTGGGAAAGAAACATGTTTTTCTTATGACTTGAAATTGGTCACTGGGCCTTCCCTTTTTTTAGCTATGACTGACGACTACGCTCCTTAAACCAAAGGACTACTAAAAAGGAACCCCTCATCACTGTTACCAGCAACGAGGTCAAGTGTTGTGTGCTTACCTGAAATTGGAATACAGGTCTACAAGGCTTTTCATGCAACGAAGCGATGCATTGACATCAAATATTTGTCATGCTAACAGGACTACTAAAAAGGAACCCCTCATCACTGTTACCAGCAACGAGGTCAAGTATTGTGTGCTTACCTGAAATTGGAATACAGGTCTACAGGGCTTTTCATGCAACGAAGCGATGCATTGACATCAAATATTTGTCATGCTAACATATACATGGACGTATCACTATTAAAACGTTTTGCCAATTCGGTTATGGTTCGGTTAAAAATTGGTTCATTTTGAAACGGATCGGTTCAAAATCGATTTAAGTGACCTATGAATCGGTTGTGGTTCGGCTCAAATTATCGGGTCAGTTTGATTTTGCTTTTGTGTGGCTTTAATTCGGTTTGGGTAGTAAATTATTTGGTGCAAAGGGGTTGCGGTTTGTAAACGGGTCGGTGTAAATAATTTTTAACTCAATTCAAATGGTTTTGGGTTAGAATTGGTTTAGGTTAATAATAGTTCAGTTCTTTTTTGGTTCAATTTTATTTCATTTCAGTTTAGAACCTGTTTGGTTCATTATTAGGTGTTGTTCTTACACATTTTAACATTATTCGGATCGGTTCAGTTTTGGGTTTACTAAATACGGTTTGGGCTGGGGTTTCAAATAATCGGTTTTTAATCGGTAAGGTTCTCATTAAGGTCGATTTTGGGTGGTTAAACGATACTCTAGTAGCGTAGTACACATGTGCGCAAAATTAGATTTCATTTAAAATTCATTTTAGTATGATTTTAAAGTTCCCTTTATAGTTCATACGTTTAGATTAAGGTAACATGCATGATTATTTCTAATGAGACTACCAATTTATAAAGTTAGTAGTTTGTAAATGGTTTGGTTTATAACAGTACTGCTTGTAAACGATTCCGTTTATAAGTTGTGCTATTTGTAAATGATTCTAAACAGTTTTTAACTCGGTTCAAATAGTTTCGGGTTTGAAACAGTTCAGTTTAACAACAATTTGGTTCTTTTTCAATTTAGTTCTATTTCAGTTCAATTCGTTACCGTAGACACCTGATTGTGTCTCCCCAAAAACCAAACTCATTGATGAGTACCTTTCACGTCATTAATATCGAGTAAGGTGAAATGTTGAAGAGTCTCGTGATGCCTCTGTTTATAATAAAAATACTTATTTTAATTTTTTAAAATCTTTCTTTTCGTATCCTATTTATGAAAAACGTCCAATTCAATCTAATTTGATCCATGGATGGGTCCAATAATTTTGTAGTTGGATGGGGCTTACAAAGAGCTTTCCAATGATATATTATAAGCCCAATTCCGATGAATAATGAGGAAATTCTGGCCAAAATACTAAACTGGGCTCAAACTAGATTTATA